GTGATTCTACTCCTGTAGGCAGAAGTAAGCCTGTCTTTCAAAGGTCCTGATGTTCACTTTTAACTTTGCCTCTCCAAGTGATTCTCCGATTCTTATGAAAAAAGGAACCAATGATGTGAACCAGAATGTAGGAAAAAGACTCAGGTTAGTAAGATGAAGAATCGACGGAAACGTTTTGTCTATGACATAGCGTTTCACTTTCAATGCTGAAGCAAAAATTTTACTAGAAAAAATAAGAATAAAAATGCCAAATGGGGACATCAGATATTCTTATGGAATATCGTAAAAATCACAAAGAGTAAGAAGCAATGAACTGTTTGGACTTATCTTATACATAATGATTCTTCGCTTGCCTCTTTGACGAACAAAACTGTACACAAAAAATTTGGATAGTGCTGCGCCCTTCTATCCTCAAGCACTTCTCAACATATATTAATCAAAAGCTTTATAGCATTTTCGAAAACGAAAATCGAATTTTTAAATCTTTTATACAGTGGAAAATATTGTAAATTCCATTTACTCTTCGATATTCTTGCAATAAAAAAGAATAAGGCCAACAGTTATAAGCGATTAAGAAATGAAGGAAATTTTTATTCTCCTAATTATTCTCTTTGCTATAGGCATCTAAGAAAATTTTTTAAATATAATAGTTTTTGTGTGATGGAAGTAATTAAATTCTGAAGGCGCCACATAAATATTCAACATAATAGGCATTTAAAACGCTGAAAAAAACATCTACCAACCGAATTAATGATATATATTTACTAGTAAAAAGATCCCTTTTACGGTGGACAGAAATGCATTCGACTCCTGGTATGACCCCTTGACATTTCCTCAAAATTCATAATATACTCTTCAACATTGCAATTCGCAGTGATTCGACCTTTTGCAATTTTACAACTTGTAACAGCAAATTCTACCAAGGGAATTGGTGGAAGTTATGATATCAAAATGGAGCTTCTTAGATGAACGAAACTGCGAAAAAAAATTTGGATGGTGCATATTTGAATATGAAAATGGAAGTGATGATATTAATCTGGGGCTGGAAGAATTAAAACAGTAGGAAAAAGGTCGAAGCCACATTCATTTATAGATTATAGCAAAAAATGCAGCGAAAGATGGAGAGATGGTAGTTTCAAGCTAGTGTTTGAGTTTGGGAAGGGTTTTCACAGAACATACAGTTTTCACAAATATAATGAGTTCAAGGACATGGCTATTAGGGTTTCAGCACTGGCAGAGGAGACTTCGCAAGGAGCGCTAGAGTTGAAAGCCTTACAAGAATGAATTAGAACAAATGGATAATTTAAAGAAGTTTATAAAAATCGAGCGGAAGCAGTTTACTTAGTTTTGCTGGCCGAATGTCAAAATAAAATTCTTCACTACAGCAATCACCACACAATTCTGAAATTCTGCCTGAATTTTGCAATTGCTATTACAACCAATGCAATATAATGAAGCAAACGTGGTTGTAATTATTATTCTTTATCTATAAAATTTTCATTGTGTAATTTTCCATTTATTATAAAGAAATTAAATTACTTCAACTCATCACAATATTACAATATGAACTATAAACTAATCATTTATAATTTTAGAATTTTCGAATTATTTAAACAAAATTTTCCGAATAAATCCAAAAAATCTGAAATTAAAAATATCTTAAAAATCTTATAAAAGCATTTCAAATATTTCTAACCGTATATAATACAATATATTTCAATTTTTTATTATAACCGATAAGAAATACAAAGTGGAAAATTATTACAATTACCATATAAACATAAAAATTTGCATTCTTTTTAACATCGCAACCCAAATGTATTATCGATATAATTCTTCTTTTAAATGTAAAAATTTAAAATAGAAAAACTTCACCATTAAGATGAAAAATATTAATTTTATGAACTTATTGAGTTTTTTAACGCGAAATGCAAATTGGTCGACATGCATTACATTTTTATTTGCTTAATTTTCTGGCAAACATTAATAAAATAAGATAGACGTAAGAAAAAAAAAACGCCATGAAATCATAAATTTAAAAATTTAAATTTAAAACTTTTCAAATATTTTTCGAAAAAACGATGAGAAAACGCTAATAAAAAAATATTCAATTTTTCTTGAGCAATATTGTGAGACCATAGAACTAGCTGCTAAAGCAACTATGTATTAAGACTTCTTACAGGTAGATAACTGAAATAATTAACCCGCATATGAAAAATTATGATCAAAATGTGGGATAAAGGCTCATTAATTGGTCGTATTAGTAAAAAAACAGAAAAAATGGAACAAAAACTTCTGAAGAAACAAAATTTATGGATTTAAATTAATGAAAGAGCATTTATTAAGATCGAAATCGCAAACCCTGAGAAAAGGTTAATTCGACCAGACTAGAACAAAATTCCTTCTTTCCCAGTGATCCGGTGGTATTTTCGATACAAAACATTGAAAGTCAAAATGTACAAAACAAATAAAATCTCAGAAAGATGAATCTTATGAATTAATGTTTATCACAGAGCTCTTAGAACTAAATAAAGAAAAAACAGGAATATGAACCACTCTATCTAGCAAAGGATAGGGGTATTCTAAATAATTTACAATAACTATCAATGAGATCATATGCAAAACTGGCTACTAGGAAACGTATAAACAAAATAAGGAGCTAAAGGACCTGGACTTCTACCAACCTATAAAAGTTTTAAATACCAACCAAAGTACCATTAAAATTACAAATTCTAAATTAAAATAGCTTCACATAGATTGAGCATTATACATTATTTTCCAAATTTACGATATGAAAACCGCAAAAAATCCGGAAATATGGAGGGAAATTGGCAAAAAATTAGTGCAAAAATAAGAAAAAAACCAAAATCATGCGGGAGAAATTAAAAGACTTCTTATGATTCAAAAAAAATTGACGAAAATGGAAGATATATCCCAGAGAATGGAAAAATATACAATTTATACTAACTTTCAACAAAAAAAATGAAAAGTAGCATTGATAGATAAACGGGATATACTGAGATTATAACCTCCGATTACGCTGCTGTATTTCTGTAATAAAATGATAAATCAATTATTAACTGGTAAAATGATTTTAAAATCTAAGCGTTTAAAAGATCACTTTTGTGAAATGAAGACCGATATATTCCATATCACAATATTATAAAATCATCGAAAAAATCAATTTATTCTCACAACATTCGAAATTAATTTTTTTTCTAGCAACCAAAGTCTTTTCCAAAATAGATTAAAGAAAACGAACTGATGAAAACCTGAATTCTTCTCGGATGAGATCTGCCAAAGACCACTTGGTTTCTGCCGAAGTTTAGCTAGCAATGCCGAAAAACCATGTTTACATGTCTCATTTGTTTCCTTATTTGACTTGAAACTCCGAACTATATCCAAATGCGGATCCTAAATCCTTAACATAGACAAAAAAATGGATCATTGATAATCTTAAAACAGTGAAGGCTGATGATCTAACTGCCAAAATTAAAATGATATTGAGTAACAAGGCAAAACTACCTCTATTTCATCTGAAAATCCAATAAATAACACGAAAAAATTGAAGAATAGAAATTTAACGTAATATTTAAAAAATAAGGATCAACAGTAAATGGATATTTAGTAATATAATAAGTCTGATATGTAATATACCTTTTTATTTTCACTGCCAGAAGTACTGGAGCGAGATGCTCTTTTCTGCAGATTTATCCTAAAGAACAAGTAAATAAAAAAGCTTTGTGAACTACAAGAAATAAAAACAATCTAAAACAAATTGGCTTAACGAGCACACCTTTCAGTTGTAAGCACGGCTCCATCTAATTCTTTTGATTTGCCATCACGCTGCGAATGATGACTTATTTTCCGCTTTCGTAAGCGAGATTGGGTATTTCGATTACGAGATATTTCAAATTTGCCACTGGATAACTTACTTCGTGATCTAAAAATAACGTAAAAAAATGGGTAATGGCATTTTTTGCATTCATATCTTGTTTATTTACTAATAGGCTATCAAAAATCGTTATCATTACCGATGACGATATCTTGGATTTCTACGACCTTCTTCAACCAGTAGACGTCGATCTTTGCTCATTTCACAGGATTCCGATAAGTGGGAATGGAGTGCTTTGATTCGATTAGGTTGATTTTCACTAATATCAACATTGGATCGCAAGTTCCTTTCAAATTCAATCTAAAATGAACCGTCCAACATTTTAATATGGAAACTACATTAGATTTTCACTAGATTAATCAACTAATTTCTGGAAACGATAAAATAGACTCATAAATGCGCAGCACAATTTACCAGAGAAGAATATAACCATTCTTAGCTTTAACTACTGGAATAATTTACCTATTAATACAGTTTTTGCACCATTAATATTCAAATTTAAAAGTAAATAAAATAGGATAATCTTGATATGATATTACTTAACGCGATCTCAGTATATTTAGAATAACAATCTTTTTTTCTGTTATATCTTTTAATTAATATTATATTGTCAATGATTACGCTCTTATTATTAATACGAACGTACATAACAAGTGCATTGTTGCTCCATTTTCTTTTAAATAATTAGAATCAGAGAACTTACTGCGAATTCAGAACTGTTCGATAAGTTGGGGTCATTAGCTCGACTGTGCTGCTGCACAGGCAGAGATTTAATCGGCTCTGTCGAACCGCATGTCATCTTAAAAGGACCAGTCAAGTATCCTGAATTCATCTGACTGTTCCCATACCAATTTTCATGATAAATATCACCGTATGGTAGCACACTATTCAACGACAATAAACTGCGACCCGAAGTCAATCTAACACATGAAGACGCGTCACAAGCCAAAAGGGCGACCGATTCTACATCTGGTTCGCCAGCCATAATTTCTAATTTGGATGAGATGGCTTTAGCCTGCAAAAATTCAAAAATTCTTTCGCCTTGTGAGAAATCAATTTAAATCAGAATATCATAAATTGCTTGTAAATTACGCCATTTAAGATCTTAATATTGGATGAATTTCTTGCTGACAAAACGCTCTGTTCGCAACTGAAATACCTGAGCTTCATATTCAGGTCGAGTTACCAACTGATCTCTGATTTCCGTCAATATTTCACCTAATCTATTTTTTCCGCGCCATTTCGATGGACACAAAGCCAAATGATTCTTGATGTCCAATCCTCAAAAAATAATTATCTTCGATTAAGAATCATTTAATATTTGAAAAAAAATTAAATCATTACAGCAAAAGTCAATTACGATAGAACTTATAGATTATACTAAAAAATTTCCACGATGACAACAATTTTAATTCATCTCTGTATAAAAAAAAGCTGACGAATTAAATACCGATTCCCCAATATACGTCAGTAGGCGAACATTCTACTAGCCTTGTGCCCTGCGTGTAAAACAAATCGTGACGCAAACGATCATTTTGTGTATATTTTGCCCATAGTCCACGCCGCATAACATCTTCCCTCATGCAGTCCCACCTACAAATCTTAATGATTGAATAAACGTTTTCTATAAAGAAGACAACAAAAGTTATGGGTCTCAAAGGAAAAAGCCAACTGCATAAAATTATGGAACAATAAGAAATAAGTTTGATTTTACTTTTTTGTATCAAAATTTTTCAATGCCTTTGCAATACTTTTGATTTTATTCGCCTTTTTTTCTTTCATAATTTTTTCTGCTGCTTCCATATCTCCGCATGAAAGTGCTTTACAATACCTGAAATTAAATCTGCTAATATAGAAAATAAATAAAAGGATTTTAAAAAAATATAACTGAATAAATTTCAAAATTAATAAACTACTGTAATAATAAATTTAAACCATTTATTAATAATTTTAATAAATAATAATTAATAAATGAATTTAACAATAAATTTAATAAATATGAAAAAATAGTAATAATTAAAACGAAATAGTAAAATGAAGGACAAAAAAAACTTATACATGTAATACTGTTCGGTACAGTTGAATCCCAACGTTTGTTCCACGCCATTTACGTCTTGTTCAGTCAGCAAAAAATGACAAGGATGAAAATTTGAAAATGGACTTTGGATTGAGTAAAATAGTGTGAGCCTTAAACCGTTTTCAGCACTCACTATAAAGGTATTTGTTCGCATTTTTCCATATCAAAATTGCCCAATTTTTGTGATCTTTCTTAAAAATCTAAATTTTATCAAAATTATTAAAAATTATACTGCATGTCGTAATTCCAATTCCAAAATTCCAATCACAAAAAAATGGTTATTTATAATTTTAAAATTTGCTCGACAGAATTTAAACGCCGGATAATATATTGTTTCGACTGAAGTCAATCATAGGAGGTCCAACTGCAAACCCTTCATAGGAATAAAAGCTTGTCATTAGAATTGAAATCTTGGTGTTGGGAACAAATTTTACTTCTCCCGTGATTTTGTGGCGAGAGAATTTCATCTCAACAGCTCAGGCCAGTCAAAGCAGCAATAGTGAGAGGTGTCAGAAAAGGTGGTATGTTGTTTCGACAGGTCAAGCAAGCGCGATTCCAGTCTCCTTAATGGCCACAAGTTTGCCGAACATCTCCCCACAAGTGACTCTCGGGCAATGCCCCTTCGCCTTAGTGCCAGGGCAGCAAGCCACCTTTGACTGCCGCCATTTTTTCACATACGCATTTACATAAAGTTCTGGAAATTTTCAAAACAAAGTAGATAATCTTTGCTTATTTGTTTAAAAGGTTCTAATGAAAAAAATAGTGAATAAAATTGGTTCGACGATAAAAAATTTGTTAACACGATAAATTATTAAGTTTTATAGGGAAAATTTTTAGAAAAGCAGATGATTTGACCTTCGGTCTGAAAGTGATTTTTTGCAACTAATTTTAGTGAACAAAACATAACGAAACGACTAATAAATTCCTGAAACTAATGGAACTTGTCCAGGCGAACAAAAATTGAAATTCCCTTTCAGGATCCTTAAAAATTAAAAATGTCGTTTATTCTTACATACAGTAATAAACCTGCAGAATAAACCCCTCTCTCTAATAAACCTACAGAAGAAAAACCGGTCGATGTGAAAGCACTTGTTGGAAAACACAGTGCGTTGGCAAATTTCCAGCGTCACACTTTTTCGCGGATTTTCAAAAAGTATTTAAATAATTCCACGACAAGCAAAATCCAAGAATTCAGCTTTGATACTTCCTGGCTACTTGGCTAATTATACATCACTGTTATTTCATTTAAATCAGAGTAGAATCGCTCAGTTTGTTGTTGCTCTCATTTCGGGAAGGATTCGTTGGTGGTGGGATTTTATTCCTGGCAAGAATATCTTTGTCTTTCAAAAATCCGAATACGCTGGCTTTAAATTTTTTAGCCACATGATTCCTGTGCAAAATTTGACTGATTTTAGTCGGCAGAACGAGCCTAAACAAAAGCCATATGGAAAAAAATATCAAAAAAAAACCAGTTGAAAAGAAATACGTAGTCAACAATTATCAGTTTTACGTGAAGTTTTAAGCTTTAAGTGCAGTGGAAAGCAATGTCTTCTAATAGCACTCACCATTTCTGCTTAGGCTCAATTGGCTATTACCCCAAAGGTCGGAAACTCATCTCAAATGCCCCCTCAGCACTGGCATGAATTGTCAGTGTCAATCATCAGCCATCGGTGAAACATCTCGTTCAAACTTTTTAACTTTTTAATGAAAGAAAAGCAAAATTATGATAGGACATTTTTGTATTGATAAATAATTCTTCTTAGAATGAAAAAATTAGCATGCGAAGAAGGCTGAAAAACATGGATAAAATTTTTTGGAATCCTTGGACTACAAGTCCGAGTTCTGTCAGTGTTGCATTCATTTAGTTTCATATACTTTCTATCAATTTATAATTCGAACCACTTTCTACTTCGTTACTTCGATTTTTTCAGTTTAGGGGAAATTTTTTTTTAGAATGGATTTTTTTGCAAAAAAATGTTGAAGTAATTACGGTATTTAACAGGGCCATCGATACGTAAAAAACCAACAATCAAACGACGAAATTAAGTGGTTTAGAAATTTTAGAAAATTAAACTTGGAAACCTGTTTTGGCATTTCGAAAAAAATTTTCCGTTCGCCAGAAACTATTAAAGTGCTTTTAAAATTTTTATAAGAATTTTATGAATTTTTGCTTCTCGAAAAATATTCTTTTTTTATTTTATAGCGATTTATTTTCATCTAAAAAAATTTCAAGTTTTTTAATTTCATCAAAACGAATTCCGTTCAACTTTATTCGATATAACTCGTAAATCGGAATAGCGATGTTCGCAAAAGTTTGGTGACTGCTAAATGACTCAAATATTTTTCTTTCAGCTTTGCCGTTTCACCACTGAAGGGCACCGTGACGCAGAAAAAACGACACAGCTTCAGCACTGCCACTCCTCTCCTTTTAATAAAAGAGTAAAGCAAATTTTTTGTAACCGTCGACTTTGCAAAATTCCCCTTTATTTTTTATTTTATAATTTCTAATCATGAAGATTAATTTGTTCTTCTTAGTTACGAGGTTTAAGCTGGGATCTGCTGAAGGTCATAAAAAATCTGAAGCCCGAAGTGACCTTGCATACAACCTTATGTTAACAACAAAATATAATGAAAATTCGAAATACTCGATAGGGCGGAGTTTAAATTTGATGTGTGCGTATCGAGAGCGGTTCTCCAATTAAAATTTAGGTCTCTCGCATAGATGGGTGCTTCTGAGAAAGGGAAAGGTGAATGGGGTGAATTTTATGGTGCTTTTCGAACTGAAATGGAGTTTGATGGGATTTTTTAGTAATATTTTAATAAGTTTTGAATTGTTAGAAGTTTAATTTACGGGAAAAGAATTGAAATTTTCTACCATTTTTTGAACAAATTTAAATAGATCAATTTCTGAAGGTTCTTTCTTTTTTTGACGTAAATTTTTAAAAATATTATTTAAAATTTTTAAAATATCAATTTTCATAATTATTTTATCAAAATTCGTTGTATAGAAGCATTCAAATTTGTTCAAAAAGTTTTTATATTTATATTTCCAATTTATTTTTTATTGTTCAATATTGCTTATTTTTCGTATTCTTTTAAAGTTTCGATAAATCGATTGTTGGTCATTTTATTCGTGGATTAAGAAGTAGGATTGCTGAGTAATTCTTGCGCATGTTTTCATCTTAAATTTCGAACTTTAATCCGATGCGAGTAAATCTGTCACTGAAGAATGCCTAGTGCTTAGCACCTACTTTATACTTCTCTCTCCATAGGCTTTGTTAGGAATTGTGGGCATAAGCCACCTACTTTTGTTGACTGCACGACATTAATCAATTGCTCATGTGGTTTTTTTGCAAGATTTCTATATCAGTACATCCTTGTTCTGCAATGAGCCATTGCATGTTAGCATCCGCTCTACTCTTAGGTTAAAAGATCATCACCAGCTGTACCCAGTACTAGAAATCAATTATAATGAAGGACGTTATTATTTTATTTGTGGTTTTGTTTACATTTGGTATAATATATTTCTACGTGGAAAATCAGCTTCTCTATTGGCTGTTATTATAGTGATAACGAGTGTGATATCGTTTCAGATTTAAAGGCTATGTTTAATGGACCTCCACCATTACCGCTACCCTCAGCAAGTGATACAATTAATGATTGTGGCCTGACAGATCTCGATGATAGTAGTCGACTAACAGCAGTTGATGGTGATGATTTATTTTTAGAAAGAAGTAAAAATTTTCAACTGATTCGCGTCGACTTGCCAGATTTTCAAGAAGTTATTGGTGAATTAAATACTGATAGTAGCATTTTTTCTGATGAAGTTGTTCGAAATTTTCCGAAAGGGCAGCAAAATTCTGGTGAGAAAAAATTAGTACGTACAATGAATAGCTCAATAAATAATGATATTCCAGTTAATTGCTCAAAAAAACAACTTAAAATTGTGATTGCAAGTTCCAGTGAGAATGACCAACAAAAGGAAACCAATAAAAACTATATAACAGAAGTATCAAACTTGTGTGACAATAAAGAAATATCGAGCATGTCTGATTGTTATTTTACCAGTGAAGTTCGTAAAATATCAGAAAACAGTGAAAATTCTAATAAAAGTGAAGAAAATAAAATTAGTAATTGGAGAGATAAGTCAGATGTTGAAGAGCAAAAGCGTAAGGAATTAGAAGCTGTTCAAATTGTTCATACGGGAAATTCAGTCTTGCAAACATATGCAATTGAGCAAGTTGAAAGGAATAGTGGAGAATATGTTGACGGCAGCGACGAATTTGGCGATTTTGAAACTTTCGGTGATTTCGCAAGTTGTTCACATGAAGTTGGTCTTTTTGCTCAACGCTTTTTTTTAATGTGCCAGTTACTAATTCTTTTCAGTATTTTTTCTTATTCTTTAAAAAGGTTGATTTTTTGAGAACGGTAATCAAGAAAATGAAGAGAAAATGAATGAAGCCGTTGAAAGAGACTGGTTGAGAAATGAAACGAAAACTGAGCTCAGAAATGACTGGGTAGCAGATTTCGATATGGATTTTGATAATGATAAGTCTTCAGTAAGAAAAGAAGGTACAGATTTAAATAATTCTGCTCAGCGATTGGGTACAGATGATTCAGATTTGGAGTTGGATCATGAGGTTTGTGAAAATTTTTTATTAATTAGATTTTATTAGTCAAATGAAAGTTTCTTTTTTTTCAAGGAGTTAATGTTTGTAGTGGCAAGATCTGGAGTTCGCACGATAACATCATGAATTTTAGCCAAATTGATCTTTTTTTTACAGGATTTACCTGAACTTAGTAAAATTTTGGGCATATCACTTTGGGATGTTGAAGAAAATAGTGATGAGGAGAATGAAATATCATACAACTTATCAGGCATTGTAGAAAATTTGGATGCCATTAATCCAGCAGCAACTTCCATAAGGTACTGGTTCATATTAAATGGAATTGCAATTGGTAAATCTCTGAAACATTTTATTTCACATTTTATCGCATTTTCAGAATTTCATAGGTTATTCAATATTGAATTTCAGTATCTGGTAAATTATTTTAAGTTTTTAAGCTTTTTTTTGGTACCGTCTTTAATCTGTCAATTGTTATTTTTTTTTTTCAAGTGTCCTCACCATTACTGGTTAAACTCGCTCCGCTGGCTTGTCACACCGGACAAATATGCCAGGGAGTCCCTTGGCGATAGAAGTACAGGTAAATCGCCAGCATCACCCCTATTTTTGTACAGCTTCACTTCTACAGGGAATCGAACCTCAGCATCGGCACTCCCAATTGAGCAACTATCCACTGAGCCATTAATTGTTAATCTATACGTTTTTAATTTATCTTGCCATTTCTACTTGTTTTAGTTTGTGGGAATCGACCTGGCTAGCCACAAGTAACATTGAGGAAGCAAACGCTTTGAAATTTCAATGGGCTGTCTCGTCAAATCGATGTTTCTTTCTTCGGTCCTTGAAGATAGATACCAGAATAGTTATTTTTTTAAATATTTTTTTTGTTCAAAATCGAGTAGATTTTTTGAATTTTTTAAATTTTTTTTTCTGTTATATTTTTCGAAAATTTATGGAAAATTTTAAATGATTTTTAAACAAATTGCTGTAGGCGATTTCACGGAATATGAATTTGCCAGCCTTTGCCCAACAGCTTGGTGATCAAGAAGTTCTTCGTCCGATGGTAGCTATTGATGCCTCGGAAAAACGTCTTAATAAAGATGACGGCTCACCTAATTCCAGGTCTCGTCTTAATTAATTGATTATTGAAAAGTCTTGTAACGTTTTTGTTATTTCAGATTTTTTTTCAGAATTATTTTTTTCACAAATTAATGCATTCCTTATTAATTTATCAAATTAACTGCTTAATCTTGCTATTTTTCGTTTTGTAGATCACCCGAATTACGACAACGATTTTCAACTTCTGTGGTAGTTGATTCTTTAGCTGTGCCTCCAGCTCAGTTTGATTGGGGTGATTCTGGATTAACGAATCCATTAACATCTAGTTGTATGTTTTTGATAAATTTCACAATTAGTAGTTGGTAAATATATATATTTTCGTTTGAATGGACTTGATTTGCTTTGAATTTTTCCAGCCATTAGGCTTTTGCTTGGTTACAAAATAATCTACATGAATAATCTATTTTAGCGATTTCGGCAACATCGACGTTTCTGGATTTAGATTTTTTGGGAAACGTGAATTCAACGACTCCATCTTCCGATTGCATTTCATCTGCTTTACAAAAAGTTTCCTTTATCTCGAATTTTCAACATATGTTTAGATAAACTTTAGGCCAATGTTTTAGAATGGAATGTTGAGATATGCGGTGGTACCATCCAAATTCATTTTATGATTTTTATTGCAAAGTTAATTAATCTGAAATTATCGAGTTGCATAGTTTTAAGTGGTTAGTGCTCATCATTTCTGGTTAAGCTGGCTCCGCAGGCTGTTAATACGGTTTGAATTTTTGCCAGGAAGTTACTTAACGGTGAAAGTACAGATAACTTGCATGAATTGATTTTCCAGTATAGTTTAACTATTGCCATAGTCAGGAACGAATCTCTGATTGTCAAAACGGATCGAAGCAGCAGCACAATCCTAATTTTCCTGCCATTACCTAAGCTTTTAGAGCTAAGTATTCGTGAGTATTGTAGGAATTTGTTCTTTATCTGTTTTAAAATTTTTTGTAAGATAAGATTGAATTTTTAAAATTAATTCGATTGTAGATCGAGTCGATTTTTTAGTTAATCCACTTTCGTGTTATTAAACGGCATTAATCGAATTTCAATATATATCAGATCTGAAAATAAACAACTATTCTTTGCGTAAACCCTTCTTATTAATGTAAATTTTACTTATCTGCTGTAAAATTTGCTACATTTATTAAAGCTGTTGTTTTATTCTTAGGATCTGGCTGTTTTTGGGCTTGGTTCATATATATCAGATAATTCATCAGTGGAAATTTCGACTCGGCCAGATGGAGATGATGCAAAAAAACCGTTGGTTTCAACATATTAGAACTATCATTTGAATCAATTTTTTAAAAATAATTTCATTACAATAGTTATACATTATTTTGCAATACCTTTCACTAAAAAGCACAAAATGGATTTCGATACGTTTTTTTATCGTATGTCTAATTTATTACTTTTTTGAAGCATAGATATTTTAGAAATATACTCGAGGAATTGATGAGGCAAAGTAATACTGAGCGCCGATATACCTCACCAAATGAACTTTCACTGGATGCTAGAGCATTGCATGATCAGCTGCCTGATTTGGATTACATGTTGGCTGATGTTCTTTTATTTCCACTGATTAATCGATGATTTCATTTCAGTTTCGATTTCTTAAAAAATTAATAATTTTAATATAGACATATCATCTTAACGGGGTAATTCTTTCACAAGTGGCCTTGTATATGTGAAATATCCATTTCCATTTTCGTTTCCATAGACACTTTAATTTATATTGCATATTGCATTAGTATCCTTTTCATTTCATTTCTTAGGAATGTTTAATTTTTATTTATCTTAATTGGACTCTATGGGTATCGTGAATTTCATTTAACTTATGGTTCATTCCATATTTTATCAAGCGTTTTGAATTCCATGCTCATTATATTTGTTTTTATATTGTTTGATTATTTTTGCGGCATTGTTTTATGCCGGTTCGCTTTTTAAGCAGTTGTCAAATTATTGTTGCGAATATAAAGTATACTTATGACATTGACGAAAAGGAGGAGAAAAACTGTGGCTTAATGGGAATATTTTCAATAAGCTTTTTTTTCCTCAAAAAGGGGCCCCTTTGAGTTTATAACACTTATCGAATATTATGGCAGTTTCTCACAAACCTTGAGAATATTTTCAATAAATGTGCATCATTTTCATCCACTTAATTTGATTTATATAAAAAAGTTGCCCCTCTAAAATATCACTGGAAAAGAAAAGTAATTGATAAGTGGATGCACTAATTGATAAGTCGGCATCTTCTCTCTTTTTATCTGTATGAACTGTAGACTTTCGCATTTTATAACTTTACTCCATTAGTGCTTTATGGATCATTTAATTACTTGTGTGGATGAGATAGATTTTTAAATTTTTTGTATTTCTTATATTTCTTTCAGGATTATTTTTCATTAATATAAGGACAAGTTAAAATCTCATAGAATTTTCCTTATCCAATGCGTATTGGTAAATGGGGCACTTAAGGTTTCGTTGTTACTATATCTTTTCGTTTTATCATTTTATCATTTTGTGCTTGTGAAATAGCTTCAGCGACTGCAATGTATAGTTGTTATTTGTTTTATTTTCTCATAAATTTGTATGAATGCTTTGGAGGGTTTTATAGGACGATAATAATTTATTGTATCTCCTTTTTGATTTTAATTTGATATTGCTTGTGATTTTCATTTCATGAGCTGTGATAGGTATTGATATTATCCTCGAGGCGATTTAGTTGGATTGATTTGTGCATTTATGTTTAGAAATTCCTTCTTGGAGATTTCGCTTATTCTAAAAGCATTTTAACATATGGTTGATCAGAGAGTCGTTTAAGAGTTATTTGCTTTTTTTGGCTTTATTTACAAATATGGTCGTAATTAATTTCTCAAATAAGCAAGGTTGTGATAAATAAAGTTTAATGACACATGGCTGTTGCTCTGTTTAATTTTTTGGAAAAGTGGAAAAGATGGAAAAAATAGATCGTTGAATTTTATCAGTAGCGTAGCAATGACTCAGGGTGGAGAATGTGGGTTAAATTAGTTCGGTGGATTGTTGATTGTGTTGCGGTGGTTCAGTACTTAGGTTCTATTCTCGGCAGGAGTAAAAAATCTGCCGTTCAAAAATTCGGGCAATGCTGGCAATTCACCTTCCTATCACGAAATGATCTATCTTTGCAAAATTTGTTTGGTCCAGCAATCCAATAGAACGAGAATAACCAGCGATGGTGAATGCTTTTGGGAAAAAAACTAATGTCCGACAAAGCTGATTTTGACAATGGAGATGTCGTGCTTTTGAGTTTTTCATAAGCACTGCGTTCTTTTGCACATTGCAATCGCATATTTTGAGAAGAGAAGCTAAAAAATAAATAAATTCCTAGGGTACGGTCGAAAATGCTACGCACTTTTAATCTCGAATGGACAGCGCTACGATTGTTTTCATAAGTTTTTATTGCCAAAAAATTAAGTGAATAAACAATGTCCATGCCGCATTTTTCATTTGTTACTTTAATTGTTACCAACTTAAATATTATTTTGATATGTAGTTAGAATAAATTTTTCTGGATTTCCAGGTTTCTGCATGCTTTATTTTTTATGAAACGTTTTTTCTGATTTTTTATCGATCGTTAGACTATTGAATAAGATAGTGAGTATTTTCTGGAAGAAAGACATTGGAACATGATTTTCTTCCGTTTATCACAATTTTAAGACATACAAAACATGAATAGTTTGGAGTCAATTTTTAGATAAATAAGGTTTTAAATAAGAATTTGCAGAGTTTTGAAAATATTTAGCATAGTTTGGAATATCCTTGATATCCTGTTTTCGCTGTTGTCGCTGTTTTCTGAAATAGCTCGAGAGGTGTGAAAGTGAATTGTAAAAACCCAAGCTATAAGGCGACACAAAAGTGATCCAGACGGTTAATAAATCAACTGAAATAAATGAAACCAAATGATCACGGTCGATAGTCGTATAGATGTTTAAATGTCTGTAACACAAATGTCTGGGCTCTTCCTGAAAGTAAAGAAAGCAATTCGGCACTATTAGTGATTTATTGAATTCCATATTCATATATTCGGATTCGAGAATATAGTTGATATTTGTGATTTTAAACAATGTTGTTGCTTAAAATTATTTCAGACAGAAATAATTGCATAAGATGCTTGCAAAAAAACAGAAAGAGGCCACTTTGCAACTCGTCGAAATCGAAATTTGTTCGTTAGAGGAATATATTTTAAAATTGAATGTATTAATTCTTCATACACAAATAATAAAATTAAACAGAAATTGATAACCCTTTTAAAGTACCTTTTGTTCTGAAAAGGAAGAATTCATTCCCGAAAAACATTTTACTCACAGCGAAGAGACAAGATAGACGAGTGGTTGTTGCGCATATTATCTGGGCTCCAGACTTCAGATCCTGCTCCTAGCAAGAGTAAATTGGAAAATCAGGATATTGCTAACAAACCATGTTTAATTCCTAGCTGGCCATATTTCGTCGGAGAATACTTTGAGGGTAGAAGGAATCACTTGGAATTAATCATAGTCTTAATTACAGATTTACTTTCATCAAGAGGAACAGAAGTCGAACCTAAGTTGATTTGAATATAGTGAAAGATGCAACATGCCATTCGATGATCCCAACATCCTTAAATCACAGCCTTTAAATGATTAAAATTTTGATTTGATCCTTGATTCTTTAAAGCTAACTAGCAGCGCTGTTAATAGATGCCAGCGATTCTTTGAAATAATGGCATCAAGAAAACCGTCAATTTATTATCAATTTGTCTAGATAAAAAATTAATGCTAACATTTGTTTTCGAGAGCAGCAAATGTCTTGCATTATCTGCAGTTATAATTTCAAAAACTATTATGATTCATTGTTAAAATTATATTTCAATATTTTATGCCAAGCAATTCAAGTAATGTAATTTCAGAATGATTATCGGTTATATAACACATTTACAGCCTTTATGTACTGGGAAATATGTGAGTTTTCATGGACCTTACATCATAGAAATATAAAATCGAAATGAATTTTCAGTTTAACAACAAAGTAATGAACAATTAAACAGAATAAATGCTTTGATTGTTAATTTTATAGGACTTATGACTTGTATTCCAAAATCTGGTAATCTTGGCTTTCGTGCGAAGAATTCAAATGATTTCAACAAATGATTCCTTTAGTAGGATTCTGGTGGATCTGCACAAATCAAATTCATGCCAATGCAAATGAGCGTAAACAGGTTTACTGCATTTCAAAACAGAAAGATTTTTGATATTTCTGACCTTTAATATTTTGAAGAGGTCCTGCTTGATTCGTGATTGCTTAAAATATAATCAGTCAGTAATACTGTTACTGAAACGTTGATTAGCAGGGAAAAAAGTTTTATGAAAAGTTTCTATTTTTTTTTAAAAATTAAAACATTACGTTCCATTTTCCTCCATTGGTAGTTCCTTCCAAATGAGAAAAAGGTTATAAATTACAATGCTTGAAATAATAATGATTTATGATGATATAGTGGTATCACTCTTTGATCTATGTCAATTATAAAAGGTTCGATTTGAGGACCCTGACGAATATGAGGAAGTAAGCATATCATTAAACAGCCAGGATATTGCTCGATAACAGCATATAATCGCATCACTAGCGAAAATTTCTTTATTAAGCTAACAGAGCTAGCTGCAACCAGAAAATTTTACTTTTGCTTTACTTTACTTTACTTTACTTTTACTTTTACTTACTTACTTTACGAGAGTTTTATTTTTTTTTAAAGCGCATTTCATAAAGAATTTTTTCATTAAATTTAATCATGATCTGCTTATATAAATTTAGGAAAAAAAAATTTGGCTTAATAATTAATATCTTTTAAAAGGTGGTAAAATAGAAATTTCGAACTCTGTGAAGATCTTTATACTCTTTAGGATCAAAGCATACTGAAAAAAAAACGGATAAAACTTTGATTTTTTCTCTATATTTACTTTGGCCGGTTGTTTAATTATCTTATCGTCAAGAAAATTTATTTGCCCCAAGAAATCAAGCGTTCCCTTAAATGGAAAATTTAGTCGACCCAATAGTTGCAAAAACATATAGATATCGTTATTTCCCATTACCATGATACTTTTGGCATATTTGATCATCGGTTTTCGTTAAACAAAGAACCTTCCTAATTCGTTATTAATGGTGTATGCACATCAGATCTTGTTATGTAGGTGTAAAAGGGTTAATGTTTTCCCACTGGCGCCTCAACTCACATTTCGTGGCGACTTCTAGGAGCCGCACTTCAACCATCAGCTGTTCCACAGCATTCAGTCATGTCAATCGGCTAGTGATTGTTGAAAATGACTTCCGTCATTTTGTCTGTACTATTGAACCAGTATCAGCACAATGCACATAATTTTTTCTTTACCTTTCGAATTTATTATTTCTAATTGACGATTCGCTTTATATTTATAATTGAACCAAATTTCAATGAAAAAGTATGAAAAAATTCGAAAAAATTCACGTAATTGATATATTTTTTATTTCACTTTTTTTAAAAGCATTTTTCATTATTTATGTCGATTCAAAACTGTGATAAAAATTATGATTAAAAATTTGATAAAATCAGTGTCCTGAATAGTGAATAGCCAGGAAAAAAAGCAAACAAAAAATATGACCTTAGCAGCCAAGTATTTTTTTGAAATGTTTCTACAATTTTTTAGTTCAACCATTTTTCGGTCGAACCATCTGCTTGTTATTTTCGATCATCTTCCGCTTCAAATTAATTTCTTACCAACTGGCTGACTAGGAACCACAGAATATTAGTAATATTAATATCATTTGTACATATCGACAAAAATACAAATACTTCAGATTATACACAAATATAAGTTATAAAATTGCAAAATCAGATGCGTTGGAAACTCTTGAATTTGTTGGAAGTTCTGAAGCATGTATACCATATATCTCATATAGTCATATAGTCAAAAGTGAAGTGAAAAGAAATAGCTGATTGGCGCTTACCACTTCTGATTAGGTTAACTTCACTGGCTGTTAATAAGATCGGAAGCCTTTGTGAAATCATTTGGCAATAAAAATATAGGTAGTCACCAGTACCACCCAGTTTAAGCGCCAAACATAACGTATAATAATTCATTTTTTCTTATATTCGAATAAAATATAGATTTCCGCAAGTTTGGACCAGAAAGATAATAATCAATTGATATCAAACTCAATTTATTTGTTCTCCTGTTAATAAAAATCACTAACCAAAATCCGAAACTGGCTAAATGGGCAATTTTATTCAGCAGAGATCCAACAATCCACAATAAAAGACGAAGGAATACAGTTGGAAAAATGTTTTTCAAGTTTTAATGATAAATTAACGTGAAAAGAATTAACAAATCAATGAGATCTTTAAATGCGATTGATGAGGAAATCAGGATAATGATTAATCGGTAAATGAATATATTACATAATTTTGATAGAAAATAAAATATTCAAGCGAAAATTATAAATAATCAAAATGGCATTTTTGTTTTCCTAACTTATGATATGATTCACTTATAATATTAATACAATAAACTACTGAAAAACATGGTGAAATTATATTTGTTGTTGATAATTCATTCATTTTGCTCGATGCCATCGTTGTAATGCAAACGATGTTCTTTATAAGTATTACTGTACTAAAGACGCATTCATCGAAATGATTAAAATGAGTGGGCATAAGTTAAATTCGATTTTAAAGCGATATTATTGCATGGATCATGAAAAATACACAACAACAAATAAAACAAGAAGATGGAAATGAAGCGATGATACTTGTAGTTTATTGCACGAGAAGAGATAACTTGCCTATCTTTGTTTGTTTGTAAATATTATTCGGTGCGATCGTATGTGAAATTTCTCAACGAAAAGCATCGAAATCATTGATATTATCCATGTCAATTGCCATACAAGAACATTTTTTTACTTTAACTACTTTTCTGATTAATTCTTTAGGATTTTTTCGTGGGCAATCTAATTTCACCTGAAATTTCAGTTCAAAGGATTTTATTGCAGTTCACAAACTTGTAGAAGTTAGGAGTGGATAGTAGTTTCGATTACTGATGAGAAATAGCACCTCGACTCCCGTTTCCAGCGCATGCTTGTCAAAAAATCCTGATGGTGCTGGCAACCCATCTGTACTTCTATCGCCAAATGACTCCCTGGTAAAAATTCCTCACTATACTAACAGCCGGCAGAGCGCTAGGTTATTCTAGCTAAGAATGTTGTGTGTAGGAAGAAAAATGAAGAAGCGTTTTCTTTATCATTTTTGATTTTATAATCGATTGCAATAAAAAAACATAGTAGAAATAGGTTTGTATAATGCCATGTATTAGAAAAGTTTATAGTTGGCAGTGTGGCAGTTTGTGTTTTCATAGTCGAAGTTTAACTATTAAACTTTTAAAACTTCCGCTCTAAAAATTTTGTCTATAAATCGAAATAAAACTTTAAAAGTTCGCCATTTTTAATAATTGAATGAAGTCTCGCAAGCTGACTTAAGGTTAGTGCAATTCAAAGGGCAGGTGGTACCTATGATTTAGATAAAATCAAATGTCCCTAAATTTATACGATAATAATTCCTACAATATGCAGGATCTGTATCTTATATTCTCAATCCAACTAATATTTAAATTTTAGTCCTTACCTCTACTGTGTCGTATTCTGAAGGCTGACAAGCGGAGCAACTTTGAAACATTGCTTTTAATTTCAATCTACGAGGCTTCAACCGAGGAATGTAATAGGACATACAAGTTCCATGACAAAACCTGTTGATAACCACCTGAATTTGGTAAAAACAAATGTCAAGTGATAACACTTTTACATTTTTTGATTAACGAAATTTTATTCCAAATATCACACCAAAAATTCGATCATGTTATTCAATTATTTATAGATATACGATTTAATTTTTTCTTGAATTTATTTTTTGTCCTTGCACAAACTTCGTTGGTGGCACGGTTTTTTTTTCGTCTCGCATTCTTCAAGCCTACATTTCATCCACACTTTAACGAAAATTTGAAGTTAAATTCCCATCATTTTCAGAGGCATATATTTATAGGACAATTCTTAAGATTGATTTATAGACGTTTTATGATAGGTTTTCAACAAACACATAAACTCAACCATTAATGAAGGCCATTTAATAAGATTGAATAGAAATATAATAAAATATTTATAACCCATTCTCATTTCTAAAAATTTCGTGTTCTACAGTTTATTTTATTTTATCAATAATAAGTTATTTCATTATATTATTTTCATGAAATAGTCCGAACTATTGGCAAAATTTTTAGAACCAATTTTTAGAACAAAACGATGCTTATAAATTTAAGTGGAAAAACATACTTTTGACAAACATCCATCCATACGTATTCGTTGCTTGAATAATTGGCCTTCACATTGTGAAGCCCTTCGCATTTCACCTGGACCAAGGTTTAACATATTTTGATTCACTTGTTGAAGAGCTTCTCTCGGTGACGATGGTATCTTTTTGCCTTAATATATTATATTGGAATAAGAAATAAAATTTCCGAGTAAAATGTGAATCACCAATTTTATGCATTTCGCTTCCGATTAATTTCGAATTCATGACTCCTTTACCAGCTGCTTTTATAAATGCATCACAATCACAAAACCTACTAGTCGTTAAATAGTTGCTAAATAGTATCGCTCAAATCAAAATATAATTGCATTCGCTGAAATTTTCCGAAGCTTCTCGATAAGAACATATAATACAGAGCACAAAAGTACGTTTGCACATTTCTATAAAATCCTATGACAAAATTTAACTGATACGTTCTAAATTACTTCGGTGAATTTCAATGAATCTGGCAGAATGAAATCATTTGATTTTTTTTTTTTGTTCAAATCATTAAACTTGCTATCATTAAACTTAATCTCATTCTCAACATCAGTCTAGTCTTTTCATAGTTAATCCTTACTGTTGGTTTTTTTCAATGAATCATGGCTGTTGATAAAAACTGAATATTGTATTGCAAAAATGCAATAAAAAATATATATTTGGCTGTTAACAGGAAAAATCAAGATCACTTAAAAAATTCATATAATCAACTGGCGAAAAAATTTTTACTGAATGCTAAGCCTTGGAAAAAAAAAGCTTTATTCTAAATCATTGTAAAACTTCTTGAATAAATATAAACCTCGTCGCTCTAGTTTTTGTTGTTTTTTGAATTTTCTTTGAAGCCATTTAACTTTTCTTTGGTCCGAAGAAAGCAAAGACGAATCCAGATATGGTTCGGGTTGAAGCGACATGAATGCTTTTCTGGATAGATGTTCGAAAAAACTTGAATTATCCACCATATATTTCATGTATCTGAAGTATGACTATCAAAGCATCAATAACTAAAACTCGCCAGATTATTAATTTAAAGTGCTTAAAGTATTTTGGCTTCCTTAATTCATTATTTTCTTAATTTTAACTTGATGAGCTGATAAAATTCCATGCTTTCCAAATAGAAAGTACTGATGGATTCTCGATCGTCATTGTTTTTGTTGGTACCAGAGAATGAATGATGAATAATTTTTTCTCCAGCTAGCTTAACACATCAAAAGATTTAAAAAAAGTTCCAGGGAAAACACAAATTTGAAAATTCGTATAAATAAACAATGTATAAGGGTATGCTACAAGAATATTCATTAATCCTCGTTTCTGAAATAATGAAAAAGAGTATCAAAAAAGAAAACAAATAAAAGCATATTTAAAACTTTTGCTGCTTGGATTTTAGTAATGGAATTAAGGATCTATAAGGATTTACTGATTAAATTCGATATGATAAGAATTAAACAATCATTAGTTAAAATCTGGTAAAGCAAATAATTTTAAAGAAAAAATTCTATCGCATTCTCATTCGCCTATAATTCTTATTGGTCGTAGCGTGCTATAGCTTCATATTAGGCTCGTTTTTTTGTCTTGTGTGTTGAAGAACAACTAAGCTTGTATCCAATATCCTTTCCTATTTTACCATCTCCATGTATTGCTTATTATTTATCATTATATAAAAATTATTTCATGAATACCAAATGATCAACCATTAATTTCTTCACTAAACTCTGCAGAAAACTAGTCAGTATTTGTATAAAATTTTAAACATTATGAATGTCTGTTCCAGTAATTTTTTCATCCATAGTTTCTTTGTTATTGCACCATGCTGGTGTAAAGCATCCAGAGTTCCGAATTTTTTTTTAATGAAGAGGCGCTGTTTAACAGCTTTAAATAGTTTTGCAAAAAATATGGCAGTCCTGTTTTTTTCCAAAAATATCTTTAGATTTAGATTTAGACATTCCTACTTAGTGCGATATTGAAATATGGACAATGTACGATTCTAATCTGCCCAAAATTCATGAGCTTTAGGAAATTATGGCAGCATACTGTATTCCTTATCTCAGTGACCTTTCCGAACGACCGCTCATTCAATATATTTTTGATCATTGTACTGTAAAAATATATTTAAATTTTCTCGATATATTTTAAAAAGAATTCTTAAATGACTAATACTTATGAAATTTATAGAAAGCCAAATTGGAAAGAAGTATTCAATATTAATATCAAATATTCAAAAATATTCATTCTACCAAAGAAGATATTTCGTCTATAAAACGATAAAAATTCCCAGTTTCCGAAATTAATTTGAGTTAGTTCGTTGAAACTAGCGATCTTTTTTGCCTTAATTCAACTATTTTTGAGAAGCGATTGAAAAAAAAAGTTAAATTCTCCATTCAAGATGTGGTAACCAGAATATCCTTTGATGAAAAATATTCTTATGAAATGGAACTCTTTACGGATATAAAAATAAAAAAAAGTGGAAATTTGCAAAATTTGAAAGGTCATATACAAATCTTTAAACTCGTTAATGCTTAAAATAGTTATTAGAATTTTCAGACTGCACCAATTTGCAAATTTCAGTTATAAAATCTATAGAACCCAGTATATTGGGTGTAATCAAGAGATGAATGGACTCGCGAGATGACACAAGGTAAGCCAAATGAAGCATTGATATCTTGTAACAAATAGAAATCCTTTATATAATTTATCAAAACCAATCAGAAAACGAATTTCTGGGCTCGAGTTTGACATTTTTCCAGCCTCAAGCTTATAAATTTATGCCGATCTTTTCAAAACTCTGCAGATTTCCTAAATTATTTTAATTTGCCTCTAATAATTTAAACCTTATAAAATTTTTAACCATTAGTTTTGTTGAATTATCCAAGAGGTAGAGATTTTAAATCTGTTTGCTATGGTGAGTTATTCTTAAGATATAACAAATCAACTCTCAGCTACAGACATTTATCAACAAAATATTCTAACTCTCTCAAACTTAATTTAATTAAAGAAAAGACCTAAGTAACTTATTTATGACCAGGAAAATTTTGCTTTGATGGATCACCTAAATTCTCGACGGAAAAGAGATGCTCGAGAAATCATCAAGTGCTTCAAGAGGAGAAAAATTGCTCCCTTTCGAAGAAATTTTAAAAAAAAGCCAGAATGCAAAAAATGAGAATTACGAATCAATTACGAATATATTAGAATCATTAAATCGCAGTTTATTTAGACGGCTGCCTACTCTGAAGAAATACTAAATCAACTATGATAACTATATTTTCTAACTGCAGCTGCAATTCTAACAACAACTAATAACAGTAACTGTGCTAGATAATTGATCCTTTCAAAACTCTGCAAATTTCCTAAATTATTTTAATTTGCCTCTAATAATTTAAACCTTATAAAAATTTAAACCATTAGTTTTGTACTCATATTTCTTTTTTCACATATACTGTAGTTTAAATGAATTGATATAAGAATGTTCAAAGTAAATTGAAAAATATAGAAAGCACAAAATTATAAACCCCAAAAAAACTGCAAAAGTAGATGCCATTGTCAGTGAAAAACGAAGTTTAAAATTTTATCTAATAATCAATAAGTGGCGGTTAATTGTAAAAAAAAGTTTGGTTCTCTTCGCCATCAACTGATTCGAATATCTTTATGAGGGAAACAACAAGTCAACCTTTCGGATATGAAGCAAGTTGGGTGAAATGAGGCACACAAGTTGTATGAAAACACGCATTCTTTTATACCTCACAATGGATTAAGTGCTTCCGAAATATAAGTCAGTCGTGGAATTCATTTTTTGAACAGACGAGTAACCACTTTTAGTTTGCCATCAAAATGTGCATTAATGAGGAGAAATCAGATTTGAAAAAAAAGAAAAATAATATATATATATATATATATATTGAATATATATTTTTATATATTTATATATATTAAATATAAAATAAAATATATATCAAATTTATATAAAATAAATATATATAAAATAAATAAATATATATATATATATTTATTTATGTATATGAATTAATGGAATATGCTGAATCTTAATTTCCAATTTTTAACTGCTCTAAGGACCGTCTCAATTTCAAAATGTCTATGTAATGAAACATTAAGCACAGGTATCTCTGATATTTGATGCATTAATAAAGATGTGTCTGGAGGTGTGAATTCTAAAATCAGAATATGAGGTATTCAGAACAGGCACAATAGCGCTTAATGCAGTGCTGAACATCTTAAACCAGAAAAAAAAGACGGACAGCATTCGATTGTTTGCGATCAAAAAATTTCTGGAACAAATGAGTCTTACTTTTCCTATAGAATTAAATTATAAGTAAAGCTTGTTTAACTTTTATTCTTTGATTAATTTATTAATTTAGTTATAAGTTACGGCTAATTGTGACAAATTGTACAATCGAAGAAATTCCTATTTCATAATAACAAGATTTAAAAAGAACTGTAAGATGGATTTAGTTGGATCGGTGTGACAACGACATGACATACGAATCATGCCATTTCAATTTTTCTGCAAAAGAGAAATACCTTAAAAAATGATTATAGCTAGTCAATAAATTATTCAACACAATCCACTGATGAAGTTTCTCACCCGACTGTTGGTGGCTCCGAAATTATATCTGGTGGCAATGATCTGCTATTAGCTACTTTCAACAGTGAAGATAGACAAAATAATGACAATAACATCGAAAATAATGACTTTGCACTGAAGTAATGCAAAATCTTCCCAATATGATTGTTACATACAGATAAATTATGGGTAGTTTGCAGCTGATAGAAATTAATCATAGCAGATTTTACAAGATTTTATTAGTACCAATAATAAGTTGAAGAATAAGTTGAACAAGAAATCGGTGAGTACTATATAATCGAGAATAACTTTGAACTGTAAGAAGTGTCTGAGGACGTTCTCCTTATTCGTTGAAGTATGTTATAATAATCAAAACGGAATCAATTTCTGTATAGATGATGCAGTTCCCCCGAAAGAATCAATCACATCCGTGAACAGATTTATCATAAATCAAAAATGGTTGGATGGATTTCGTGAAAAAAAAGCAAAAAAAATATATCACCAACGAAGAATACGATCTACTGAAATGATCGAAATCGATGTAAAGTTTTCAGGAATGGGCGGTTTATTAGAAACATCGAAACACGCAGGCGTGGTTTATTCAGTAATGTTGAATAGAGGATGGATGGATATAAGTGTAAAGAATTTGTCTGCGATAATTTTAACAGATCTTTATGGATGTTCGGATAAGTATGGAATCTGAGAATTGGAAGGATTTTAAAAAATAATTCCTTATGCGAAATATTCCCAATGGGAAACACACTTAAAAGAAAAGCAGCGCATCATTGTTCATTATAAAGTGTTGATGATAATGTGGAGACATATAGATATGATATTACGGCGCCAGCCGTTGTTGGCCCTCCTTACAAATTTTACAATGCATTATAACACTTGTTTCCTTGCACTTTATCCTCTTTATAATTGCAGTTATAATTGCAGTTTATTTTATTGACCTCAAATCAAAATTTAATTGAACTTAGATCTGATTATTTGATTTGTTTTTTTTACAGTTAATTTAGGACTGAATATTGCATTTTCGATTATTCGAATCTAGATGAAAATGGCTGCAGAAACGAATATTCCTGATTTCTGTGATGTCAGCATAGACAATTTTTATCAATTTGTCAGTAATGATTTATAATAATTGTGTTAGCAATCTGTTTTTGATAAAACTGCTTTTTTTGCACATTTGTTGTGATTTTTCACAAAATGTTTATTTTGATCCGAGATTTCAGGAAAATATCAATTCCTCCCGTCCAGTCTATCACGGCTCAGATAATTTTATGAGGAATTTGAAAATTTGAGAAAAATCATTTCGCCATCATTGTCTTAATTAATTTGATTATTTTTTGTACATCTCGCTGAGTATAAGTATTTATTAATGAAAATTAAATCAAATAAAAAATGATATCTTAAATATCAACACAAATATTTCAATTTATAGCATTTATCAAGCAATTTTATAAAGAAATTATAAAAAGAAATAAATTTTTGAAATTATTCTACTATTCCACTTATTTGCAAACATAAATTCATAACTGAGTTACTCCCTATGTGCTATCATTAAATGAATTTTTAATGAACTTATCTTAATGGTGACCGTATATTTAAAAAACCTTATTCTGATAAAATTGAAATCTGGTAAATTTCATTCTATGGTATTGAAAAAACAATTTAAAACTGTCGCGATTTGCAGCATTTAAAAACATTGCCACCTTTCTTTTTCTTCAAATCTGGTTGTTCCTCATTAATGCCAGGCAATATAGGATGCATAATTGCTATTCTGGCTGTTCTTTTAAAGTCCGATAAGCTACTGTTGCGTGAAGCACATTTGCTTCTTGCCTAAGGTTATAACCTGAGATTATGAGGCTATAACAATTAATCTTAATAAATAAATCTTTAATTCGACCAGTGCAGTTTTGATCTGATGCATAGTTCTATATGCCAAGTTTTATGAATTCATATTGTTTCGTTACGTATTAATAGAACCATAAATTATTTACGTATTAGCTAGAGAAATAAAAAGAATTTAATAACAAATAACACCTGTAATGCACCTTTTGGAATCCTTGAAGCTGCATCTAAAGCATTAGTGGTTACAATACTTAACATTGACCAGGCACTTGGAGCATGTGGATAAGCCCGAACACATTCCTAATTCAATAATTTTAAAAGCGAAGAAACATTCAATTCGAATTTTATTATAAATGATCAAGTGAACAAGTTTGAACGAAATTCTTGATAAGAGTGATTTTAGCAAAATCGAAATAATTATGCAACAGATACCTGGTTGAACATTACTTCTGCAAAGGATTCACCAAAGAAATTCCACAGAGAACGGTGGAAGCCCATTGGCTCAAGTTTTGCATGAATACGGCCTTAAAAAATGAAATACATTATTTATTGATACATTATTGAAGACAAGAAAAGTTTAGCAGAAATTTCTTTCATATCTCAAATCTCAAAGCTTTTAAGTTCCAAATGTGCTCGATACCATTTGGCCTATTAAATTTTAAAAACAACATTTAAGACAGGTTAAACTAAAAAGGGATATTTAACTTAGACTGTCCGTTTAAGTTACTTCTCACTTCATGGTTCTTACTTCTAGCCCATAAGTAAATATTACATTATTACTTTAATTATGCTAACATATTTAAATAATTTTATTTTCGAGAATGGCTATATTTATCTGAAACAGCTACTGTATACGATTAAGGATCATTAAGTTAAGTAATATATAGATATGCAGCTTCGAATTAGTGCTTTCAAAAAATAAGCTTGAATCTATTTTTCCTTCGCAAATAAAAAAAAAATAAAAACCAATAGTTGCGATATCTAGTGATTTATGTTCCAAGGGAATATCAAACATAAGATCCAGTAAATCATCGATGAAGTCAATAAGTAAATGTGCGTGATCACGAACTGTGGTGATAGTTCGTGAATGCGTCGATGCACCACGACGTTTATCTTCTACACAGCTTAAAAACGCACTTTTATAAAAAATTGGCATTATATCCATCGCGTCATTCATCTTCTCGAATACCTAGAAATTACAATTTCGAATGGTTCAATAGCCTAATCTGGAGCGGAGGAGAATCGATTTCATCATATCATAGCATATTTTCTGGAAAAATTTTTACCTTTCCCTTTCCCTAGAAAAAAATTCCCTTTTTTCGATAATCGGCTTACTTTATGCCCGCTTAGTTGAATCTGTTCTTGTTTATTAATTATGGTTTAAACGTACGGCTAAATGCACTGATAGTAAAAAATAAGTTAATAGATAAGACAAAATTAATGGATAGTACTTTTTCCATAATGGCAATCATTCCACGACCTGAAGTTCTTGGGGCTTCAGAAAGCCGCTTCCATGTTATTCTTAATGCACGTTTCTTAAAATTCTCATCATTAATGTTATAATAAAAATTACATCACATTAATTAAAACGATGAAAACTAGGAGGAATGGCGTGGAAAGAAAGTTGTAAAAGATCGCTTCAGAAGACGGAAAAAATTTTTTGAGGCCAAACTTAACCACGATGCGCAATCTTTTGTCCCGAATATAACTGATTCTCCCGTCGAGCCTTACGTTTGCAACTCTGAACCGCCAACAGAAGAAAAAATAATCTCTATAATCCATAAACTTAAGGCCAATAAAACTCCCGGAGAAGATATTCTTCAAGCCGAACTTTTCAAATATTATCCATCATCGTTCATAATTCACCTTCAGCAAATGTATTCTCTGGTATGGCAAAAAGAAATAATACCAGAAGATTGGAGCGAAGCAATTTTGCCTCCAATTCTTAAGAAAGGTGACAAGACGTACTGCCATAATTACCGAGGAATCAGCCTACTGGACATCTCAGAGAAATTTTTCACTTCCCTTCTTCTAAATACACTCATGGCAATACGATATAGCAGAATACGTCCTAACCAGGCTAGATTCAGACCAGGACGCAGTTATGCTGACCCAGATATTTATGCTAAGAAGGGCACTGGAACATCGCTTCAAATACCAGCAACACACCTTCACTTCCTTTATCGATTTTGTAGCTGCCTTCGATTCGCTTGATAGAGCAGCACTCTGAAAAGTGATGGAATAAAACGGTGCCCCAGAGAAGATCACTCAGCTCATAAAGGCATTTTATCAGCATACCTTGGTGTGTATGTGGGGAATTAACAGACTTCTTCGAAATAAAAACTGGTGTCCGTCCTTTCCCCCACAATATTCAACTATGCGATAGACTGGATAATGAGCATCGCTTGTCGGCACTCAAGAGGTGTGCAAGTCATTCCAGAGCATAGCATCACAGACCAAGAATGCGCTGATGATATGATATGATATGATGATATAGATATTTGACTCAAAATAAATGTAATTAAAAAGAAAGTGTTTTCGTCTTATGTACAAGGTGCTGATAAAATACCTATTTTTAGCCATTGTCGGTTGAGGAAGTGCTGGACTTTAATACTTAAATACCCTGCATCCACTCTAATCCCAAATGGGCAGGCAAAGGATGAAAGCATGACCAGGGTAACAACAGCTAGAAATATGGTTGATGAAATCTTTATGGAACCGTTGCGAAATCACCATGAAGACGAAAATCCGCATCGATATATCTGCAGTTCGCTCGATCTTGCTATATGGCTGCGAAACATTGCAAATAGAGTGGAAGATATTAAGAAGCTATTAGCCTTTGACCACTCTTGTCTAAGATACATTTTAGGGGTCCGTTGAGCGGATAAAATTGCACATGACTGTATCCATCTTCGCTCAAATTTCACCTATATATATAATGTTATCGCAGAGTGTGACCTTCGCTGATTAAGGCATGTTCTCTGTCATCTATCACAGGAGTTGAAGCATATTTCGTTACTTGCCGAACCTTGTGGTAGATGCTCTCAAAAGCGAAGAGGACCAATCATGACCTGGACTGATACAGTCAGGGAAGATTTTGAAGGCAAAGGAGAATCAGCAATATATGGACTTAGACGATGGAAAAAGGAATGGCTTCTATTACTACTAGCGATGGCGTCGAACCGAGCAGCTTGGAGACATGCTTACCCTTGCAGCCAGCGGAGCTAGCCTAATTAGCAATGGTGAGAGCTGTTAGAAGGAGAAAGAAGGAGGAATGATGCTTTAAATCTAATAAAAATCATACAACGCGGAACGTAAGTAAGTGTTCCGTAAAAATTTATCTCTAGTTTTTAATTATTATATCCAAACTAAGGTATACAATAAATTTTAATTCTAATTTTAATTCTTTTATGACTTTCATACGCAGCATATTGTGACTTTGGACAAATTAGCATTTTAGTATTTGTTTGCTTTTAAACCCAACTAGCCAAAAATTCAATTTGCTAATCATATTGTGTTCCGTAACAAAAAAAGTTAGGCAAACGTTGAGATAGGCCACTCGAAGTAGAATATAGTGTAATTTCATTATCATATAGTACATTAAATTGCCTATCTTTTTAAAAAAATGCCAGATCGGAGAAGAAAATTTCACATCAAGCGTATTCATTAGTACTCAGTTTATAGTTACCAGAAATATAGAAAATGAACTTGTAATTTTGACATTCGAGCACTAAGACCTTGTGCGAAATAAGCCAAAGTGTCTTCATTTCCAGGCTGTTCGGGTATACTAAACTTTCGAGATGGCAACGCTTAAATAATATATTTCATATTTTACGTTAATATCATTATTATAATATTTACTAGCACTGTCTTGCTTCTTTGGGGTTTACCGCTTATAAGCACGAAAAAAACAACTGAAACAATTTTAGTTTCATTAGCCAATTAAATAAGAAAATGTCTTGACCCCAATTTAATGCAAGAATCGCATTATTCATGTATATATCGAACATATTTTCAAATTTAGAATTTTCACAGCCATTTTCTTTCGAAATTCGCAAGGTTTCAAAAGTTATAAGAAGTGATTGGAAATTGAATTGGCCTTTGAATTAGAAAGACCTACATAATAACTGTGGAAGAGGTAGGATTTCTTCCTCATACCAATCATCGGTCATTTCTTGTATCATTCGACGCCTTTGAATCGCTTCCTTTATTCGCAGCATCTTGCTGAAAATTATTTTAGCAAAATTATTTTTTTTTCTCGTTTTTCTCTTTTGCTCTTTTATATTTCAGCGACAAAGATATATCAAAAGCTCGAAAGAAAAAAAATTTTGGTCAATTTAAATAGTTTTTTCATTAGTGGCAAATAGTAGTATCAGTGTCTAGGTGGGAAAAGAAATTTTATCCCTAGCTTTAAGAGGGAAATGAAAAAAATATGCATAATTATAGTAAATAAAAATGATTAGTGACCAAAAAGGTTATGCCTGCTTCACTAGTTGCGCGAAGAAATTTTTGCTGTTAGCTGATTAAGTTTAGAATAGAATCTAACCTTATCAAGATCGTTTATATACAGCTTTAAGTGCACAAATACTGATGACAAAGATCTTTCAGAACTTGCCTTTAAACCGGCCCAGTCAAGCCATTAATATGACTCATCGGAAAAACCGCTCTAGTATAGCCATTTCAGAGATTTTAGGCGAGCGATATCCACACGATGTATGGAATATTCCAAGTAGTCCATTAAGGATGGAAGCTGACTTAAATAGCCAGCATCATCGAATTTTTCAACAAGTTTATCACCACGAATGAAAGGTGGTTGGATGACTCTATTGATAATCGGGAATTAAACTTCAACGGCTTTATAGTAACAAGCAAGGACAGAACAATAAATAATTTAAATATTCTTGGAGGTGGGCTTATCACGCTTATTCGTGACTATTATAAATTGAGATGATTTATTTTTGTTCCTCTTTTGAATCTCTAATAACTAAAATTTTTAATATTCTCTAATTCAAATTTTAAATTTTTAAAATTCTTAATAATAGAAATATTTTCCTTTTAAATCTATACCGCCCAGCTGTCTATGGAAATAAATTTACTATGGATCTTTACAACCTGTTATTCGGATTAAAATTGGTGCCGATTATGTAATTGTTGGTTATCTTAATATGCCAAATATAGATCGGAAAAATAACAAAATTGAAGAGGACTTTCTAAACTTTTGCACTTTTATATAGGTCTAGAACAATATGTTAAGATTACCACTAGATTTAACACTATTTAGATGTTGTGTTTACTCCTACTTCTCTTGTTGATAACATTAAAATCTTGGAACCTTCTTGTAATAGTGATCACAATATCATTCATGCTTCATTAAAATTAAACCGTTATGTACCTTCCCCGAGATATTCTAGAAATTACCATTATTGTAATTATGAAATCTTTTATTCTATCATCGCAGAAATAAACTGGGATTTCTTATTTTGTTTAACTCTCTCCATTGATGAAAAAGTTATTTTTCTTAATAGTATCTTTTTCATTTTATATCTTATAGAGTAATATATCCTTTTAAGGAAAAAAAGCATTAGGTCAGTTTCCACTTTTCTAAAATCTCGTAAAAAAAGTGTCATGAAACTTTATAATAAATAAAAATTAATCAAATTGCCAAATGACTGATGTAAAAAATGCTTAAAAAGTTTCCATAGTATCATTCATAATTACTTTTCAAATAAAGAAGAGCAACTTTTCAATATTAATCGAAATTCTTTCTGGACCTACATCAAAAGAAAATTTGCAAATCCAAGTAAACAACTAATTCTGCAACATAATGATAATGTGATCACCTTTGACATTGATATCGCATTGATATTGTATTTAATCAATATTTTGCTAGTGTATTTTGCTAGTGTATAGTTATTTGTTGACAACATTACTCATACTTCTTGTTTTAATGTAATTGCACTTCTCTCGGTGAGGTTGAAATAACGCTACTGTATATTTATGATGCCACAAATAGACTTAAGCCGACCATTTCAGCTGGTCCCGATAATATTCCACGAATATTCCTGTTTTTATAAAAAAATGTGCAGTTTCTCTGAGTCTTCCCTTATTTCTAATTTACAAGGATATTATCAAGTCTGACTTCCATCCCAAAATTTCGAAATTATTTCGTATAAAATTCCCATTCATAAAAAAACAGGCCTATTAGCCTAACATGCGTCGGTAGCAAAGTACTAGGAAGGTTGATTTACAACAAATTGCTTACTTATTTTGATGCCAATAATTTCATATCCACCTATCAGCATGGCTTTTTTTTGAAAAATCTACTTCTTCACAAATATTGACAAATCTTTTTGATTGGTCAGCATCAAATGATAATGGAAAAACAGTATCAGTTGTGAACCTAGATTTGGCCAAAGCCTTTGATATTGTTTCCCACAGTAAGCTGTTGATCACTCTTAACAGTTACGGCATTGAAAAGCACCTGTATAACTGGGTGTCAGATTCCATAAAAGATCGTCACCAAGCCGTACGCGTCAATAACACTCTTTCTGACACAACACCTGTTAAATCTGGTATTCCCCAAGGTAGTTGTATTGCGCCATTGCTTTTTCTATTATATATAAATGATATCACCAATGTGGTAATAATTCTACTATTTATCTTTAGGATGATGATTGTGAAATTTATTATCCTCATGGTAAGAACAGATAGCCTATCTCCACTGTAATAGGACCTCAACAGAATAGCCAGTTGGCTATATGACAGACAAATTATCCTTTTCTTTCAAAAATGTAGCGTTTTTCATATCAATTCTAGAGGTTTCAATTTTCCTAATCATATTATTAATGGCAATATAATCAGTAGGGTCTCTCTCACACATCTCCAATCTTGGAAAAACCATGGATGGAAATCTCGATTTCGACCTTCATTGCAGAACTATGTTAAAGAAATCCTCAAAGATACTAATTTTATTTTTCGTTCGTTTAAGAACAAAACCGTAGGTTTTTTTATCAAAATGAGAAGGCGTTCGTTCGGCCACTTCTTGTCTATAGTACATGTTACTCCCGAGATATCGTAAATCAAGTGAAATAATTGAAGGACTCAAAAAATACTTTATACGACGCCTCTCTCCTAGTAGCAATTTTAATTATAAAAGAAAAATTCTACAATATAACCTAGATTCCCTCTTAATTCGTCGAATTAAAAAAGATTTAATTTATATTCGCAAGATTCTGGTTATGTTAAACTGGATTGTTCAAAATATAATTTTAGGCTAAATTTGAATCCAACAATAACTAATGGGCTAAAATTACTAAAACCTATGTGTAAAACTAAGGAACTAAACTAAACTAAATTCATGATTTCTTTATTCGTATTATTAATTACTGGAATAAAATGCCGAAAGATATAGCTTGTGTGTCATCCTTAGCTATCTGTAAAAAAAAATTGGATAGATTATTTAAAAAGTTCACATCATGCAGGAAGTGTGAAATCTCGATTTTCGCCATCCGATTATGTATTATACAGTAACTTCGAATGGTACTATATTATACTATTTTGTAATTTTTTCTTTCTTATCGCTGTAAATTGCTAATCTTTGTATATTTTCTTTTTCTTTTCTTAATCAGTTTATTAATTTATTATTCGTTTATTAATTTTCTTATTATTAATTAATTTATTTATTATCCGTTATTTATTATCTGTTATTAATACAAGCACATGGTCTTTTTCGTACTATTTGGCTGGCTTTCAATAAATAAATAAATAATAACGCAATTTAAAGAATACTGAGTAAACAGAGCAATACATGATGCAAGTGAAAATCAAAATTTAGTTGCTATGAAAGTAAATGGTGATCATTAGAGATTAGACACTGACAATTTCCTATAATTTTAAGAAAGCAATTTAGCAAGCAAAATTGTTGAAATAGGATTGAATATTGCGATTTGTGGCGAATTATACCCTGGTTCACCATTAATGAAATTGGAAAATACTGCATATATTTCTCTAGATTTCACTTTTAAAGTTCTAATTTTTTGCCTAAATCAAGAATTTTTCAAAGGATATTAAATCACTTATTAAGTGCGGAATAACCGTATAATACAAAAGAAGTAAATTTTATTCGTTCACTAACACTAATTCCACTAATCCAGCTAAACTTTAGGATATTCCTCTGCATGAAAAAAAGGAGAAAAAAGCGGCAGAATTCTTTTGGCATAATTGTAAGCCTTTTCAATCGCCAAAATTAGTAAAGGAAATGATATGAATTTTTTTAGCGGTTCATCCCCTGGAATTGAAATTAATTTTCATAACTTTTTAACTCGGATTGTTCATCGGACTGAAGGGAGCTGCATAGTTTACTTATTGCCCAGGAATGTATGAATGATGTCAAGTGGTGGCTAACGATTTCCTTGTTATATGCAGTGACGATTAAAGCCATATAGACAATTTAAAATATTCATAATTCCATGTTTCCAATATTGATATAATCTGCAAAATAATTTTTCTTTTAATTAGGGACCGTCAGTTTAAATTACGAATTATCATCCGTGGCTGAAAAGTTCCAATTATAAATCGCTTTGGAAAGGCCAATTATATCAGTAGTCCTCACTGTCCATCAAAATTGTCATCACATCACATATATTATAATAAAATCTATATTCATTAGAAGCGATGATTTTATGTATCTAATGATACTAGTAGCATATTTGTACCATTCCAAATAAAGAGATCAATGAGGCTATCCAAATTAGAAATAATGGATATTGTTGGAGAATGATTTCATATTTTTAACCCTTAAAACAAGATTTTTTTTTAAAGAGTCCTCACTATTATTGGTTAGACTCGCTCCACTGGCTTGTGGCATTAAACAATATGCCAGAGAATCCTTAGGCGATAGAATTACAGGTGAACTGCCAGCATCACCCAGTTGTACATATTTACTCCTGCGGGAAATCGAACCTCGAACCTCAACATCGGCGGTTGCAATTGAGCAACAATCCACTGAGCCATTCCATCCTCCCTTAGAACAAGATTAATTTAAACATAACAGAATCACATATTGTTTATAAAATAGTATCTTCCTCGAACACCTCGAACTTTTGACTAATATCGATGTATATCAACATCACCATTAATATCTTCCTTTAGAACTATTTGAAAGGCATCGTTAGTTCAGTTGCAAGATAATTGTCACGGAGAATTGATGCTTAGATTCGAA